ATCAGTGAGGTCTTCCCTGGTGATGAGTGAATCCAGGCGCTTGCAAATGAACTCCAGTATGGATGATGACATCACAGAACTCGATAAGTTGATTAGGCGTTGAAATTGGTCAGTAATATGCCTGGAGTGGGCCTTGGAGCCCAGCTTTCCATTGCTATTGGCGGTAATATATCCTTTTAGCTCATCAAAGAGCCTATGTGCTTCATCCAAAAAATCTGACAGACAGCAGGACCCTATCATGACAGAACCAAATAAAGGCAAACCACACTCGTGAAAAACAAACACTGTGGTGAGAAACTGATGCTAAAGACCAATGAAATGTGCTAACCTAGCAGCTAGCATGAACTAAGGTACATAACTAACATTAATTAGAAACACATCCTCAAGTAAAGGGATAAATAAGTAATAAAGGTAGTTAAAATAAGTCCAAACCAGCAAACCAAAGAAACAAAGCATAAAACCCAGAAAATTAATGCCAAAATGCAAAGTTAAAACTATGAGAAGTTTAAACCCAGTCTGTTATAAAATGAAAATTTCCCATAAACCATGCCAGCCATAAGTAGCCAAAATACCCCAATAACCTTACCAGTGACCCATAATATCGCAAAAGCAAGTTAGTGAAAGAAGCCCGAAAGGCCACTAAACATATGCATTAAAATGAATAGAAAACATGTTAAAATTAGAAAATAAAGAAATTAAATTACTTTAGAATAGAAAAATAAATAGTCTACTCTCCATATAGAATATGAAAAAGTAATTTTATTTTAATTGCTTTTCTAAAAGTAGTGAATTTTATGTAAAATTAAGAGCATTAAAATGAATAGAAAAAAANCTAAACATATGCATTAAAATGAATAGAAAACATGTTAAAATTAGAAAATAAAAATAATAATAATAATAATAAAAAGCAGATAACAACGGTAAAAATTTAAACCACCATTAAAACAGTTGTGATTACAGTTAGGACATTCTGTGACTGTTGAAAATACGTTGGTAATGGAAATTTTGAAAATCCATTAATTAAGAGATAGAGTGAAATTAAAACCCCTGTAAATCAGCTAACAATTAACCTACTTCCACCACACTTACAGAACTAGTACTTTACACCACCCTGCATAAAACCCCTTAGTGCTGCCCCCAAAAATTTAACCTCCTGCCCGCTAGACTCAACCGAAAATCCAAAAGTTAAAGCTTCAATTATTCCTTCCTAATCAATCCAGATAAATAAATTGCCTACTGAATTACTCGGGGTGTCTTGCCGGATCTAATAGTACCCAGCACAGAAACATAAACTAAAACTTCCGCCAAAAATTTCAAAGAAATAATGAGCACAAACAGATACGTCTTAACGATGTTACGCGAATACTCGAGATCCAATTCAAATACCTATCCATTTATAGAAGAATCATGAGTGTAATTGAAATTATAGCCCACCTCCAAAATGAATTGGACAGCCCTGGTCTATACCTTCCATACAGAATATTTTGTTTCTCTCATGTTCATAAATAATCTACATACTTGTACACATTTATATTGAAATGCATTTGAAAGATACTGTAAAGGAGTTAATTCATCACAAGGTGCCTCTACAATATCTCTCTTGTTAATCTGCAATTCTCTATTATTGGTTTGGTACATTTGTTATTAGGCTTGCTCAGCTTCATTTTTTTTAAAATAACTAGTGAATATCATTTTTTGTTTAACTTTAAAATATTTTATAAATATATGAGGTCTGTCTGGAATGTTCACAGTATAACATACATCTCAAAGACCAATAAGTATATAGAAACATCCAACAATTGTCTAAACCAGAGATCCCCAAACTCTTTTTTCCTGTAGACTACTTGCCAATTTTATCTGTTTTGGTAGACCCCCTGCTTTCCTAATATTGATTTTTTATAAATTCATCAACTTTAAATGTGTTTTTGATACAGAGCTACTCCCTTTGATAGGGTTTACTGTAGAGTGGAAAATTTTAAAATTAAAAAATAAGTTTTGTAGTTTTGCATTTTGTGTCATTTTAATTAATAAATGTATATCTAGTAAAATTTTTACATAAAATAAATACACAAAAAACCAATTCTTTTAATGGGAGGGATGAGCCTGATGCTTTGATAGCAAAATTTCAATATTTGGCTTCAATTTAGTGAGCTTTAACCTTAAATCTCCTCAGTGAGTGATTTCCAATCTGTTTCTTTTTTCCAATTTTTTTTTTTTTGTAAGGATATTGGCAACCACACTGAAATCCCTTTTCACAAGGTATGAAGATGGAAAAGCTATCAAAAACTTTCTCGCAATAGTCCATAATGCAGGATATGTAACAGGTATGTGTCTCTGAAGCCAGAATTGCTGATATCCCTTTCTAAACTGCACCTTAAGTTCTTTGTTAGTGATTATTCCGATCAGTTCTTGTAACGTGACATTCATTTTGTCAATGTCACTATATGGATTGATAATCCACTGTGGTATTTTCATAGTCAATACATCTTCAAACTTAGTTTCAAAGTGTGTGTGAAGGACATTTAAATGTTGAATGTAGGCTGAAACGTCGTCACCCTGGCAGTTTGTCTGCACCAAATTGGAAAATTGGGAAAATTTGTGCCATCCAATGTTTTGCTTCATTAGTTTCATTCTGGTAAGAAAAGCTGCAATGATGGACTTTGTTTTTATCAAATTTAGACTGTTTCCTTGTAACTGAATGTTAACCTCATTAAATTTAGCAAACAAATCTGTTAAATAAGCAATGTCTGGTTTTCATTTGTTTAATTTTTCTTTTAAAATGGGATCTTCAGCATCCAAAAACTCTAAAACAGTCTCAAAAAGTGAAAAAAATCTTGTCAAATTTAAGCCTTTTGACAGCCAGCATACTTTTGTGTGAAGGAGTAATCAATGAAAGTTCTCGTCATTTTCTTCATACAACTGCACAAATAATATAGTATTCATTGCGTTGCTCCAAATTTTGTTTACTGCATTTATGATGATTTGAAAAGATTGATGCAATTTGCCACTAAGATTTTTTGCAACTAAATATTGTCGATGGATGATGCAGTGAATTGCAAACACCCCTGGTACATTTTGTTTTAAATGGCTTATAAAATCACGATAGTGTCCAAATATGGCAGGGGCTGCATCTGTTGATATTATATTTGATAAAAGGGATAGCTTTTTTCATGAAAAAATCTCTCAAAACATTAAATATTGATTTGCCTTTAGTATCTGTTGTCAAAGTCCTTGTGAAGAGCAGTTCTTCATGGATTAGTTGGTCCATAACAAAATGGACATATGCCAATAGTAGTGCTTCATTACCAGGTAAAGTTGACTCGTCCAGTGGTATGGAGAAATGGGTCATTTGCAGGTAATTACACAACAAGCTTTTGAATCTATTGATGCTTTAAGGAAAATTTACTGGCGGAGCTGCACATCATCCCAAAAGAAGCATTTCAGGAAGTGTACAGGAAGTGGCAGAAATGTTGGATTTGGTGCATAGACTCAGGAAGGCATTACTTTGAAGACAACAAAACTGACTAGTTTCTAAGTAAATGCAAACAACTTCTATTTGCAAAGTTTTCAAACTTTCCAGAATGACCTTGTAAACTAACATTATTATGTTTCATATGAACAAATCACTGCTTTGTGCTCTAATAAATCATAGTTTCCACTTGCAAAAAACAGAAAAATTTTTCATTTCTGAGCATAAAAATGTCATATAAAGAGCAAGTTTCTAATTGTAGAAAAATTCTGCAAGTGGAAACAACAGAAACAGAAAATAAAAAAGATTCTATTCATGTATAGATTGTTTTCCTAAAGCATAGAATGTCTCTTTTGTGAAAAACAGATATTTGAATAATACCTATTTTGGTGTCTTTGGAATGACATTAGAATTCCAAGATGGATGATACTTGATCAACAACATATGGTTTGCTGGTCCTATTATAGCTCATACTTCGTTTCAACCCTTTGCTCATCTTTTTGGAAGTTAAATACAGTAAGACCCCACTTAACGCTGCCTCGATTAACACTGATTTGATATTGCGCAGTCTGATCAAAGTTTAAAAAAGCTCTAAATTTATACTGATTCAAATTATCGTGGCATTTCATTGATTCATATATAATACAATTATTCATGAACACGAACTAATCAGCAAAACGTGGCAATTCGTTGTAGCACTGTATGTATGTCCCTTAAATCTATGTTTGTTTTGTGCAGTTTTGGAAAAAAATATAACATTATGGATACCATAGGAATTATCGACTTCGCTTGGCAAGAACTAAATGATAAATGCTTGAATGGAGTGTGGAAGAAGTTATGGCTGATGGTATCCAAGAAATATTAACAAGAAGTGCCTCTCGCTGTATTATTAGGTTAACAGTTTGGCCAACCTAATCGATACAGCAGGACTAGATGTAGACAAGCAGGATAATGAGGAGTTACTGCAGGTTTCTGGTGAAAGCCTTAGCAATGATGAACTTCAAGAACTGGCAGAACAATGAATTCATGTAGAACTGGAAAATAGTGATTCTGAAAACGAAGAACCCAAAAAATTTCTTTACAGATATCCTTAGTAAAAATTTCATAACAATAACCAAACTTGTCAGTCAAATTGTAGCAAATGATCCAGATTTTGAAGAGTGCAAAAGCAAAACGAGTCGTTTTGGATGTGATCTTCTGCTACTGACATTTGCTTATGGAAATAAAAAGCAACAAATGAAACTACACATAAATATTAAAATATGTCCTAACATTTCAGGTAACAACATTTTCTATATAAAAACATCTGTCATCATTAATTTAGTCAGAATGTCTTCACATTCCATAGTTTAACTTTAAAATTTAATTTATTAATAATTTATCACTTCAAATATTATTTAATAGTTTGAGTATTTTTATGTTTAGATTTGTTGTTTTAGTTTTGATATTCATATTTAACAAGAATTAAACAAAATTTTATTACTTTGTAATTAAATCATTAACTTTTATATTTCTATTTTCTTGCAAATAGGAATATGAAAAACTATTAGAAGAATGTAAATTAGAAAATCATCAATTACAAGAGTCTCTTCAGAAAATGAGAGAAAAGACTAAAGATGTAGAAAAAAGTTATCAGCTTTCAGAAGAACAATTAGAATGTATGAAATTAAAATTAGAAACATTAACAACAACTTGTCAGTTTCTTCAACATGACATGGAAAAACTGTCATCAGAAAACAAGGTACATATAAATATTTTATTATAGTGTTAATTATTTTTGTATCAATATCTTGTTTTAAAATAAATGAAAAGAATTTTACTTTTCAAAATTAAACAGAAGAAAATTTTACTAATTAATTTCAAAAAGCATGATTTACAATTAAAAATCATTATTTAAAAAATGATAGATTTAGTGATTTGTAAAAATTTTATAATTTTAAAAATAAAGAAACAAAACAATAAGTTTGAGTTAATTCCAAAACCTTTATGCATTGATTTTCAAAATAAACTGATTTATTTTCTGTGCAAAGGAAGAAAATTAAATTGTATATTTTTTGTTGTGGCTAAGTTTTTAATTATAATTACTTTATTATTTCCTGTAATTAAAAGAAAATAATATTATGGAAGTAATATTTCATAATTTTATTTTTAAGTTAAATTTCTAAATATCACTTTTGGATAGCTGTTATTATGTTCTATGTATGTATGTCTCTTTAATCTCACATTAAGTTCGGTAGACTATCATTACAGCTTTCAGGTTAGACACTTCTTTTATTGTTTCCACATATGCATTTCGGACTTATATAAATGTTAAGTCCCTCTTCAGTGCAATACTACAAATTATTAAAAAAACATAATTAGTAACAGGACAAAAGTCTTCACGTGCAGGTCATATTTACTGACATAAAACTACCATGCTTAAAAATTGTCACACTTATACGATACCTATTGTTCTGTCTTCTAAAACCACAGTGTACAACGGGTAACGTTAAAAAGATTTTAAAATACAGCCATTAAAAACACCACAAATACATTTTCCAACATTAATATGGAAAACCTAGCATATTAATAATTTTATAATTTTTTTACTTTTTTACTTACGATACTCACTTTTAACATTTGCTCATAAAATCTTACATAAGTACAACTCTCAAAGAATGTGTATGTTCTACAATATAACATTGCAGTAACTGCAATTATAATCGTTTTACAGATAGATTACATTTAGCATAGTAACATTAAAAACATTTTTTAAGAGACTACATATACAATTTTACAGTATATTTCCAATTATTTTCTGTCACAACACTATGATAAATACATTACAATCAATTTTTTTTCATTAGTGCCACCTATTATATTATACCACTGTTGATCTATTTGCATACCATTTGATATATTGATTAAATTATCATCTTTAAATTTTATAATCTCAATATGTTCCTTAAATTTATGTTTATACATGTCTTTTTCCAAATGAATTATTTTTATGTTATTTCTATCTATTTGACAATTACCATTTTTTATATGGTTGAACCACGGAGAATTATTGTGTTTTAATCTAATTGCTGCTTCATGTTCTTTAATTCTTAATTCTAACATTCTACTAGTTTCACCTATATAATTTTTTGGTTCTTGGCAATTACAATTAATTTTATACAACTCCTGATTTTTTTTAATTTATCAACTTTCGTTTTATATTTATTATTATTATTATTATAAATATTACTTGAAATTTTATTGGTCAAAGATGGGGCCAAAACAATATTTTCTTTAAAAAAAAAAAAAAAAAAAATAAACGAAATTACATTTGTAC